AATGTTTTCACAGGCTTCATTATGTATAATGATTTATATATCATATTTACATACCAGAATATATGAATTTTTCTCTGGACACAGGATTTGCGCGAGTGTCTCGGCAAGATGAGTCCCACTTACAATATTTTAAGAAATTGAAATTTGACCCTGGATAACTTTATTAGAGATTGGACCCCAGCTTGCCTGATAAACTGGGTCCCTCTTCAATAGTTGGAGTCCGGGAAGCAAAATATGGTGTTAACACAATCCATGTGGACATTTTACAAATATAGGGAAATACAAAGAATAAGTTGATACTCATTTTTCAAATTTTTAAGAAAAGAAAAGCAAAGCCATCTATGCCATCACTATTTCATCACTCAAGTGTGAATAAACAATTCATGGTGAAAAAAAAGACAATAGATAATTTTCTGCCGCTAAGATTCTGCGTTGTGTGTGAACTCAGGAAAAAAACAGGACAAACAAAGGTCATAGCGTCCTAGTGGCATCAAAACATGGGATTTTCTGAACACAAAACTATATTTCCAAGGCATTTTTCTGTTATACACATTCGATGATGGTAAATTTTGATGAAGTAAACGATATTTCAATGGTACATTGCTTTTTAATGGTAAGTATTTTGACATTGAACTATTTAAAAAAGTCAAATTCAAGTTAAAAGTTAAATCATTTAATTTTTTGCGACAGACCGATCTGTATCTTTCACACATTACGCAGAGTAAACTAATTTTAGCACACACAAAATACAGGACATGTCAGGCGAGATATCAATGGCGTTTTGTGTGTATAGTGACAATAATGAACCAGAAAGTGAATGAAGACAACTGCGAAAAAACTGAAACAGATTTGTGAAAACGTAATCCATAATAAAGAAGCACTTTGTCACCGATTTTGCCTGACCTCTAAAGGTCACACATCCTGGTACTTTCAGGGGAGTAGTTTAAAATTTAAAATACTTTATTTCAATTTCTAGCATGATAAACTGAACCCTAATGACAGTGTATCTGAACCTATGAAGAACGCGGATGTGTGACCTCTAGTAGTCAGGCATGAAACTAAGAAAATGATTTATTTTCAACGATTTTGTGGTTTTACAAAAAACAGTGATTGGTGAAACTCCTCAACCATTTTTCATTTCGCTAAAACTAAAAATGACCAGTGCAAGGAAAGTACAATGATGCATTGTCACAAATATATGCAAATATAGTCAGTTCGTTAAACAAATCAGAAATCAAAACAGACCTATTTTAAATGGAATACATAGTACCACAGAAATTTGCTGGGATAAAAAAATCTGGTCGCCCTGGACAACCACTTTTGTGATGTAACAACCAATTGGGCCATGAAAATAAATCCAAAAATCTTACATAATAGTACTCAGTTCAGTGTAAAATTGTCAAACAAGTAAATCATATTTTCACTGAAAAGTTTTTAACATTTTTTTTATCTGTACATGTACATACGGTGCCAACAAATGTTCAGATTTGTTTGTAAAAGATGATAACACATTTCGCTCTGGGACAACTAGTTTTTTAGAGTGGAAACCAAATACCGTAAAATCTGTATCTGTGGCTACTATTAGGGTTGAGGCTTCTATCCTCATTCCAAATAGTAGCTGCACATACAGTCTTTATGAACAATTGAGAACCAACAATTTACCATTTCTCAGATGTTTAAGTGCTCCATTATAAGACACATCCCCTCTGTTGCATTGTAACATTTTAATAGAAGCCATGACTGTAAAATCTGTATTAGAAGCTGCAGCTTCTATTAAAATAGTATATTGCAACAGAGGGGATGCAGCTTCTATTAGAGCATCTACACTTGTGAGAAATGATAAATTTTCGATTCTCAATTATTCAAATATAATGGGTGCGACTTCTATTAGAGATGCGGCTTCTAATACAGATTTTACGGTAATACAGATTTTACGGTAATATAGATTATTGTTTTTGACCCTTACATTTGATGACTTTGTTGAAAAAGCTTTTCTTTATAGTTTTAATGCGACAAAGGAGAAATAACCTCATGATTTTTGTAAAAAGTACATTTTAATGGCTTGAGATCCAGTGTGGTGTATGATACCAGAAAAGTAGGAAACTCAATTTGTGTGGTCTCCGTTATTCAAATGCTACAGTCATCACACAGCGTGTATTCAAATTTCATGTGAACAAAACAATGTATTTTATGCACATTGCAAATGTTGCCATGAGTCCCATATCGAATATGACACGGCATGATGACTGTAGCGATTTGACCTCAAGGGATGTGTTGAATTACACGTTTGAACGCATAAAAGATTAAAAAAATATTTTACTTCCAAACCCTGTGTGTAGCTTCGAAAAATATGATAATTTTGGTAGATCAGCCTGATTATTATACAGCAGGGAATTTCTATCTTTCTATCAAAATACCATAGCTATGAATACAAATGAGGTGATTAACATATATGCAAATTAGTTGGGTATTTTCCCAAGAAGAGCAATGGTAGCAGCACGCGGAGAAAATACCAAACATGAGTTCCTCTCATTGCACAATATTACCCGAAAGAATGGAAATCTACAATCAAATGACAATTTTTAACAACATAGGGGGTCCTCAAAGGTTTACAATGGATAAGGACGACTTATCCACACTGTTTTCCCACTCAATTACTTCTTAGATTTACTTTTAAGCTTCCTTTTTCCTTTCTTGATTACAGGTTTATTTTTAACGTAGCCACGCTTCTTCTTGTTTGTCTGAAAAAAGTTTGATGAAAAAGAAAAAAAAAATTAAAATTTTGAAAATATGTTACATTAATTTACTGATTTCCATCGACAACTAATTTTGTAAATTCTTCCAACTGACAAAATTTTACAATCTTAAGACAGTCGCTCAAATAAACCTGGCGCTGATGCAATAAATTTCTGTCACCTCCATATTGTCCACTGCAATTCAGCGGTCCCACCAAGTGGGGGAGAAAAGGTTCTCTCTACCAGGATGTGGAGTTGTTGATAATTCTAAATTAAAATGGAGCATTCTATGGCTTTCTTGGGGCCAAAATTACTATCCGACAGGTCCCAGTTGGAGACTGTGGCCACACTTGATCCCTGGTCAATCAGAATTTTATGGTTACCAGAGGATCTGCTCCCCAGGCACTGCGCCCCTGTTCCTTTGTTTAAAACAACCCTGCAACTAGTTAGGTCAAACCACTTTTACGAGGGGTGTGTTGTTTGCCTGAATTGATTGATTGTGTCCCGAATTCAAATTTCATTTATCCTTTCCACCACCAGTTCCCTCTTTTCATCACAAATTCAAAAATGATTCTGTATATAGTCTGCACTTTCCTTCAGAAGATTGGGATGAAAATAACCAAATTTCTTGAGTAAAAAATGAATATTTACTCAAATTGTGTCCGTTGGCTCCAAAAAATAGGGTTCATTTCTAGAAATATTGAAGAATATGAGAAAAAAGTGCAGAAAAATTTGGGCGAAAAGTCTGGTGGTAAAAAGGTTGAACAATGCATTTTACACATGTTGCATATGTCGCTATGGATTCAATATTCAATATGCCAGCAAAAAATAAGCAGTTTACAGTATTTTTTATATGCAAATGATTAAAAGTTTCACCTTTTTTGATGTAAATCGTGTTCTTGGTTTGATTCTAGAATTCCTGACTGGTTTCCTGAGTGGAATTCTGTTGTCTAATTCTTTGACTTTATAGATGCGGACCAGCCAGTGTTCAGAAGTGTACGCTTCCTCCAAGTGCTTGAAGTCGATGTCTTTGTTGCCGATTTCCACATTACGCGTTCTGTCGAATCCTGGCGGAGAGCGGAAATCAAGCTGCAATGAAGCAAAACTTGTGTTTATTTAACAAAATATGTAACTCGGTAAATTTACGTCTGAATTTACTCAACTTGTCGCCATAAGCTGAGTGAGCGATTCATCACTATGTGTTACCAGTTATTGTGCATATCAATTCCTGAATAAGCGATAGAGGTGATGTAATTCTATTTTTATATGCGTAACCTAAATAACAACGGGCGAGGGTAGGATAAAAATATAAAGGATCAAAATGATAGACAAAACTTCAGACGAAGACAGCTGTATATTTGAAACAGTTTTTCTAACATAAAAAATGTGAATTACCAGTGGAAAAGAATTATTTTTGTATAAAAAACGAACTGAAAAGAAGGTGGTATGCTTGCGTTTTGCTGAGTAAATATGATCATGACATAGTTTTTCAACCAAAATATTATGCTGAATACTCGTAGTGTGCAAATTTTCAGAAGGTGATTAGTTAAACATGTTAGTTGAAAGAACTTGTATTTGAGAGGGGGGTTTTTACACTGCGAGTTGGAGACACAGATGAGCGGTGTACCATGACTCTATTGGTAAAAATATGTCCTACTTTCCGGTTTGTTGACCACAGGTCACACACTATGCAGAAGCACACCAACGATAAATATGCAAACATTATCATTTCAGGAATCAGAAATGGTTGATGTAACAAAGATTTACCATGTCAATGCAATGTTTTTCCTCAAGCATTATAGACTAGGAAACCAATATATTCAATTACCATAAAATTAAATAAAAGAAGTGATCTATTGTTATGCAAATTTATTTTTAGTGAAGTTTATTATTATTAACCTTATTAATCCAACAGGGTCTTAAATGTTACCACAATGGCACATAGGAGCTACTAACCTGCATTTCTCCAAATCTGTAGTAACACAGTTTATACATTAAACAATTTAATAATGTTGGAGATCCAGCACTGTCCACACGAAATTCACCGTTGGGCGTGTAATAGTCACTCTCCTGCAATACACAAGAAATACAATTATGAATCAAAGAAAGCTTAGAAAGAACTCCCGTGTGCTGAGAGTATTGAATACACATTAAAAATTAATTCAAAATTACTTGTACACGAGATATTGATGGAAAAGCTGAAAACTAATTATGTAAATCAGGTAACTAATATGAACAGAACAAAAAAATTATGAATTATTAACAAATTTTAACCCAAAATTAATCAGGCCTGTCTATTGTCCTAGAGTATTTATGTACCAAATTTTATTCAAATGTGATGATCAGTAATTGAGATATCAGTGTTAATAAATTAAGTTAATTGGGTGATTAATAAGCATAAATATTTACCAAAAACTAATTGGGTCTCTGCATAGTTCTCTTTAAAAGTTTCATTAAAATCCAATTTGTGGTTCTTTATATGTCAGTGGAACATTATGCAAATTAGGTAATTAATATTCAATTAAAACTAATCAGGTCTCTGCATAGTCCTAGAAGATCTATGTAGCAAGTCTAATTGAAATATGATGATTAGTACTTGAGATATCAGGCAAAAAAGCTGAAAATTAACTAATTATGCTAATAAGGTAATTAATATGCACAAATATTTACCCAAAAACTATCAGGTTTGTGCAGTGTCCTATGACATCTATGTACTAAGTGTCATTGAAATGTGATGATTACTACTTGAAATTTCAAAAGCTGAAAATTAATTAATTATGCAAATTAGGTAATTAATATGGACTGATATTACCCTAAAAACTATCAGGTTTGTGCAGTGTCCTATGACATCTATGTACCAAGTATTATTGAAATGTGATGATTAGTACTTGAGATATCAGTGGAAAAGCCAAAAATTGATTAATCATTATGCAAATTAGGTAATTAATATTGCACAGATTTTTACCCAAAACTAATCAAATCTGCACATTAGTTTGGAGCATCTATGTGCCAAGTTTCATCAAAATCCAATGAGTGGTTCTTTAGATATCAGTGGAACAGTCATGGACCAGCTAAAAATCAACTAATTATCATGCAAATTGGGTAATTAATATGCAAATTAATGGTAGTGTATGCGTCAGTTTTAATCCGAGCAACTTTTTTCTTTTTCAATCTTGGTGAAGTGCACCCACCACATGGGGAAAAGTTTTGTTTTGTTTTTAGATTATTTACTAAATTGAACCAGATTCGACATCATTTTTTATCTCTGGGACGAGAACAAGCTTTTTTTAGCAACATTCGGTTGACCAGCAAAAAGGCTGACATTTAATTTCACTACTAGTATTTTGATATTTTGAGCAATTTCACCGAGTTTTAAGTAAACAAACCTGGCAGAGAAACAAATGCTATTCTACAAGTTCACATAGATTTTCATTTGAGAATCTCACTTGTCAATGAAAATATCAAAATATAAAACCAGGGAATAATTAATGTGTTCACAGTAAACAACAAGCAACGTGTTGTCCTACAAGAAATATTTTACAAAAGGACACTATCTGGATATAATAATAATATTTTGTCCTAATTCATTTTGAATGTTTTAATGTATAATATGACCTAAAATTCACGATTGTGATATATGGCGAGTGCCACATGTGGAGCAGGATGTGCTCACTCTTTTCGAAACACCTGACATCACCTCTTGGTTTGTGTCTTGAGGTCCATGTTTCACCGATTTGACAGTGTGTTGTTTGTTTTGTTTGTTTGTCCCCTTGTGTGTTCTCGGATTTGTAAATATTGCCTTTTGACATTGATTGTTTGGCTTATAGTTGGGTACTGTTGCTTGGATTTTTTCAATATTTTATAAAATTGTTGATTCAAACCCCCCTTCATACACATGGTAGCCTAGCAACCGGAAAACTCCAGGAACTTTGAGAACGACAAACTGGTTTATTATAACTCACCTTAATATCTTGTGGGTGTTCCCCTTCAGCTATTCGAACCATCCACAAGAACTTGTTGATGTCGTCTCCAGAGTAACCAATCACACCACCAAATATAACCAATACGTAGTTGACGTCAAGCATTCGCATGATTTCGTAAGCTTTCGGTTCGGTGGATGACATGGCTTTACCAACCTATGTAAGATAATAAACAATATAATTTTAACGAAAAACATTTTATTAAGTTGCATGTAATACAAGGCTAATGCAGGCATAAGAAAACTACGTACAACAACGTTGTCACCCGACATGTACATAAATTGATGCAACCGCATACAGTAATACAGTTAGCATAATTTGAGGTATCCAATCAAAGGCTAATTTTCAATTTACTGCAAGATTTGGTGAATTTTGAGAAAAATGCAGACCAAACATCTGCCGCAAAAATCAAATGATTTGATTTTCATTTCAGTTGCAATTTGTTTTTTATAGCTGAATATCGAAATTTCGATCATGGAGCGGGAATTACTTTCTTTACTTTACTTTTTACGTACTTTTACTTCATCAAAATTAACTATCACATAGCACATTAATAAGCATGGAAATATACCCAAAATATTTCTGACTTTTTGACGCCATTAAAACACTATGATTATTGTTTATCCTGTTTTTACGTTCGATTTCACACATAATGTTGTTCTCACATTGAACGGGAAGTGGTCTATTATTCACTCAACTAATAGTATTATGCAGGCGTGAGAAAACTATGTACAACGACAGCGTTAATCGACATGTACCGTAAAATTCGTAATAGAAGCCGCACTTTTATTAGAAGCCGCACCCCGACTTTGCTACAATGTATCAAGTCAAAAATTACAACAATTGAAACTTGCAAAACCCTGTAATAGAAGCCGCATTGGCTTTTTGAGACTTGTCAATTATTGTGTGCATCGCACCGCTGTGTTGACAGTTACCGCTGACGGCCAAAAGATCCGCCCTTTGATTATTTTCAAAGGTAAACGGCGACTGGACGACCTCACACGCAGAGAGATAACGGTAGAAGTTCAAGAAAAGGGATACATCAATGAATCTCGTAAGTATTTTTTTTTATTTTGTTCGTGCATGAAGCTAAAAAAAGTTGTCTTGGGCCCGGTTCTCATGATCATGTCCTGATACACTACACTGTACCGTCCGTGTATCATTGCGTGTACATTTGGGTTTGTTCACTGTTTGTAAATGTGATCAATAAGATTCAAGATGACTGCCGCTCTGTGTTTCCACATAAAATATTTTTCTTTTTTTCTCTTATAAATCTGTTTTCCATGGTTCCCAGTCAATATTATGCATGACCGGATCGAGTCACGTCATATCAAAAGCCATGGCGTGCCATTCAAGATGGCTGCCACCTTGTAAACGTTGTGATTACGTTTTTCTTTTGTTTTTCGCATCATTATTTGCTATCTAGTTTAATCATCATTCCACGGAGTTAGCGGAATTTTTTTTTTATTTCCATGTTTTGCCTGTAGTTAATTATTTT